TTACTTCGGGCGATGTCCCGAATAAGCTCATAGGCGTTTGTGCCACGAGATGGCTTAGCATTGCGCCTGCCTTGAGATCAGTCTTGAATCATTGGGCAGCCCTGCGATCTCACTTTGATGCGATGAAAAGTAAGGAACGCTGCTACGCAGCAAGATTACTCAGCGAAATGTACGCTGATGAGCAAAATTTACTTTTTCTCCGTTTTCTAAGCCCAATAATCGATGAATTCGAGCGAATGAATAAGCTCTTTCAGTGCGAGGCCCCGGACCCTGTGAGACTCAATGAAGAATTGATTTCTTTTGTTAAAGCTTTAATGACAAGAGTTATGCCTGGCTATGCAGAACCTGACAATGCGGAGTGGGAGCAGCACATATTGCATGTGAGGGCATGCAGCTTGGGCGTTATTTTTCTCGACAGTTTTGAGAAGTCTTCACTCAGCGAAGGTGAAAAAGTTTGTTGGAAAGGTGCCGCAAGTTTGTGATAGCATCTATACGGAGTGTGCTCAAGGGCTTCCCGCGAACATGAAGCTTCTCAGTGACCTCAAGCTTCTCGAGCCAAAGAGCATTAAGAAATACTCTTCCGATTTCGTGCATCGTTCATTCAATGCTTTTGTAGAGCCAAGTTGTATTTCAACAATGGAATCTGAGTATCACCTACTCCAAACCAGAGTCGACGATCTGGCAGAGGGTACCCACTCCATAATCGAATTCTGGGTAACCGTACACAATGCAAAAAATGTTGCCGGGAACTCGATGTTTCCACTGATGTCAAAGCTGGCGCTCTCTTTGCTGTCACTACCAGTGTCAAACGCTGCTGTTGAACGAGTGTTCAGCCAGGTCTCGCTTACTAAAACTGACATTCGAAACAGGATGTCTAACGAGACCTTAGAAGCGCTGCTCCATGTAAAATTTGGTCTGGGGAGGAACGCTGGCTGCTGTAAAGATTTCAAACCGGGAAGAGAATTTTTGTCGCGTTTTAACTCCACCGTTTTGTATGGGCCGAGCAGTGCCTCGGCATCCAAATGAAGTGTTTAAGTTATCATGTTTAAGTTATTTCGCTTCTCCACTTTCATCTCTTTTGTTGTATTTTCTATTTCATGAGTTTTTGTATATATCTACTTTTTTGTAAAACCTACCTATTTCTACTTTTTGTAAATATGCTTCTATATTTCTTTGTGATTCCATTCATTTGTTTGTTATTAAGTGACAATAAACTTTTGTCTAGATTCTGCAGCCATCGCTCAATCATTGTGGATTGAATAGCAAAAAAAAATATTATGCAATACGACGTAGTCACGCATACATTTGCTGATTTTGGCTATTTTTGGGCTACTTCAAATTTTCGCGTTTGGCTATGTTTGGGCTACCTCGGAGTCCAATTTGGCGGTTTGAGGCTCGCACCATCTGGTAACCCTGAGTGGCCGTGCGCCGCCGCCGATTATTTTGCTCGGCGTGCACCGACGACGCCGCTACCGGTCCAAACCACCTCGGCGCACACCTCTAGTCGTACATCGTATATAGTTCGTCCAGTTATAACTATTCCAGTCTCAGAATGTGTTTTTTTCGTGCGGTGACACAGTGAATGCGCTTCTTGCTGAATCCTAGTCAGTGACCGCGGGGCGTGACGTTGTGACAAGTGATTACAGCCGGCTTGTGCACACGCAAGGAAAAACCACGGTCAGACTGGTACGAACGCTTGACTAGCAGCACTGCGATGACGGTTTTTTTTTAATGTGCCCATTTTGACAATCGCGATGCCAGGTGATTCTGGTGCGGTGCGCGGATCTTACTGAAAAGTGAGAGTTCTACTCGGGAGGTGGCCCGAAGCAGCGCGTTTAGGCTCCTTTAAGTGAAATGTTTCTGAAGGTGCATTGATTACACTCTCCAGCTGCTCTGTATACGTGCATATGCGCAAGTATTTGTAACAAGTGACATGTACTAGACGTAGATTGGACGCGCTGTTTGCGTTTCAATAAAAACTGACAAATAAACTTGTTTCGCGAATCCGCGTCGACGTACGTCGACGGAGTTGCACGAAAGCGTTTGCGTGAAATGTTTCATGGCTACACTTCACGGCGTGCATCTTTTCTGACAGCACAAGGTAAATTGAAGAGAGCGAAACCGTTTTCTCGAGGAAAGCGAAGACGGCAACCCAGCACTGTTGGAAAACTCGGATATTGCATTGAACGAGCACCACGTTTTTGCTTTGCCTTTGCTTTGCTTCCCTAGAGACATGGCACGTACAAACTTTATGTATTGGCGAAGAATGCAAGCAACGTAGAGACTATTAAATGTTATTTTAGGTGAGCTATGAAATTTGAAACCAAAAATAAAGAAATGACATGTCAATAATACGTAAAATATTCAGTTTACCTCCAAGTAGTATGTTTTTGAGCCTGTATTTCAGACTGCCATAATAACCTGACGGGAATAATTTTGAAAACTTACGTCTTAACTTAAAGAAATGACGAAGAATTTCTATTACAAGATTAAAATGGTACTCGCTCAGTAGTTATGATGAAATCACACACGGCATCAAAGGCATCCTTGTGGCAGTATCCCAAACCTGAGGCACCGAAGCTTAAAACATTTTCCTCCGATAAGGTCAAGCCTATTTTTGTAAAAGAAGTAATTAGAAGTCGAGTTCTGATACGAGAATATCTTGCACTTGACAAAAGTAATGTGCGATGTTTTCCAGCTCTCCACAAAATTGGCAGAGCGGTGATATCGTCAGACGAGCCCTGTACCAGTAAAAGGTTAATAGGGGACACGACATCGAAATCTGGTGATCATCTCTTCTGATTGTCGAGAATGGCTCAACAGCGATTTCCATGAATATTTTAGGTGATTATATTCCGTCAACGTGGTTACTGCTTCCATCCTATCTGTGTGGATAGCTGATCTTCTAAACTTGATTGCGGTGAAGTATTCTACCACCAGGATAACCAGAATTGTTGGGAGAGGCTATAGCGATGAGTGGGCTAAGGCGTCGGCCATTTCATTATTGTTAACGCACAATGACCTGGTACCCATACTGATTTCAGGTACTTCAGCTGAGACGGAACTAAAGATCGTAACGTCATGATGGCACGAAAGGTATGAGAAGTTGTAGGAGCTGTGCATACCAAAAGCGAATCAGTAATTATTATTGCCCTATTCTCGTTCCTCAGAAATTTTCGCAGTGCCATGATGACTCCCATTAGCTCCGCCTCAAAAACAGGAGTGAAATCAGGTAGCCTCACGGCAAATGACCAGCCAAGTGATTGAGAGACTATTCCTACGCCTGCCCTTACCTCATTGACGGAAGCATTTGTGGCTAATATGTTACGTGTCTGTGTATGCTGCATGTATCTGCTAGCCTGTTCTCTAAGAATATGCGGGATTGAAATTTATATTGTGGGGGAAAAACCTAATCAAACTCTATATTAAGAATATGGTTTGAGATATTAGATACAATTACCTCACCAATGTTGACATTTATGCTTGTTAGTTTTTTTTTTTTTTTGTACATAGATTATCTGCGGTGTATGAAAACGAGGTCAATGAGTGAGAAAGAAAGAATCTGGGTCAGTGATCGAAACGTATCCAGGTCTTGTCACTTGTAACCTTTAAAGTTTTAAAAATGTCTCTACTGTTAACAAGCGGAATCGACAGAGCAATGTAGGCAGATGCACCTTTTGATAAATAACATTAATTGCTGTAAACCTCGGAAGCCCCAGACACAAGCGCAGAGCTTCCCGCTCCAAGAGAACCAATGGCTTAGTGTTGTACGCAGGTCCTCCTGAAAACAAGACACATCCGAATTCTAATATTAGGCGCATATACATTTTGGAACAATAACATGGTGTCTCTACGTACACAAAGTTTGCGATTACTCATTCTTCGCAGTAAGCCTAAAGCCCGTTGAGCCTTAGCTGCAATGTATCCTATAAGTGGAATCCAGTTAAGTTTTTCATTGTACAACACACCCAAATATATAAGGGAGTCTACATGTGGAATGGGTTCCCTATTATATACAATGGCGATTGAAATGGAATCGCCTATGGGAAACGCCAAGAAAGCGCTCTTATTTACACTTAAAGCCATTGAAATGGACTGCAGCAATCTTTCTAGCATGTTCAAGTATATTTGTAATTTTTGCAGTAGAGTATAAATATCATTGTCAGCAGAAAAGAAGGCTATATCATCAGCATATACATAGACACTGATATCCTGGCAGTTCGGTATGGAACTCATTAGTATATTGAATAGAAGAGGTGAAAGGACTGCTCGTCGGGGAACTCCGGGATTCTGTTTGTATCTAGATGACGAGCATCGATCCTTGACACAGTAATATACCCGTGAGGTCAAACCGTCTGCTAAACACGCCTTCATGTACTGTGGGAAGTTTAAAAGTCATCAGTGTGTTCAGCAAAATCAAATGTTCAACGCTATCATCGGCTTTTGCAATGTCAAGGGTCACTAGTTCCACGCATTGTCTTGTTATTTTAGCAAGCTATATTCGGCTCTCTAAGTCTGCATGGGAACACCAGAATGGACAATAGGATCTAAAGCCGATTTGTTGGGGTTTTAGTATTGACTTGGCTTCTATGCAACTTGTGATCCTGCCGTGCAGAACCCCCTCTATTAGTCTGACCACGTTAGAAGTTAAGGATATAGGTGTTATATTTTCTATGTTGAATGCTGATCTTAGGTCTTCTTCTGCTTCTCCTCTTCTGATGGCTCTTACCCAATGCAGGTAACTAGACTGGCTTGGTGCCAACTGAAACGCTTCTCCGCTTTAGTTTATGTCCTGGCTACGATTGCCTATTTGATCACGGCAGGAATCCGGCTGCAGTCATATGCGTATGTGTACTATATTTTAGAACTGTAGCGTCGCGCCTGTCTTGGCCAGCTGCCGCACTAAAGAAGAAGAGGGCTGCGTGGCTCGTGACAGAATCTGGACAATCCACGACGAGCATCTGCAATAGTCCTATTTCGTAAATTTTCCAGACTGAAAGATGCGAGAAATTGTTCTCATCCAGGCAGGACAGTGCGGAAACCAGGTTGGAGCGAAATTCTGGGAAGTTATCTCTGACGAACATGGCATTGAACCAACTGGCAGCTACCATGGAGACTCTGACCTGCAGCTCCAGCGCCTGAACGTCTACTATAAAGAGGCTCCTGAAGGCAAATATGTGCCGCGTGCGATCTTGGTTGACCTCGAGCCTGGCACCATGGACTCCGTGCGGTCCGGTCGATTTGGGCAGCTTTTCAGACCCGACAACTTCGTCTTTGGCCAGAATGGTGCCGGAAATAACTGGGCGAAGGGCCACTACACTGAAGGTGCCGAGCTCCTGGACTCTGTGCTGGACGTTGTCCGGAAGGAGGCGGAGGGTTGCGATTGCCTGCAGGGATTCCAGTTGACGCACTCGCTTGGTGGCGGCACCGGCTCTGGTATGGGCACCTTGCTCATCTCTAAGATCCGCGAGGAGTACCCCGATCGAATAATGAACACCTTCTCGATCGTCCCCTCGCCCAAGGTGTCGGACACCGTCGTTGAGCCGTACAACGCGACCCTCGCCGTTCACCAGCTCATCGACAACACAGACGAGACCATCTGCATTGACAATGAGGCCCTGTACGACATATGCTTCCGCACGCTGAAGCTCACCACGCCCACGTACGGAGACCTAAACCACCTCGTGTCTGCAACCATGTCCGGTGTCACTACTTGCCTCAGGTTCCCAGGGCAGCTGAATGGCGATCTGCGCAAGCTGGCAGTCAACATGATCCCATTCCCCCGTCTGCATTTCTTCATGTCCGGCTTCGCCCCTCTCACCGCTCGGGGCTCTCAGCAGCACCGTGCCCTGACCGTACGCGAGCTGACACAACAAATGTTCGACGCTAAGAACATGATGACAGCATGTGACCCAAGGCATGGACGCTACTTGACGGCAGCGGCCATCTTCCGTGGTCGCATGAGCATGCGAGAGGTAGATGAGCAGATGCTCAATGTTCAGAAAAGCTCCCTCTACTTCGTCGAGTGGATCCCGAACAACGTCAAGACGGCCGTGTGCGACATTCCTCCTCGCGGGCTCAAGATGTCCGCCACATTCATCGGAAACAGCACTGCCATCCAAGAGCTCTTCAAGCGAATCTCTGAACAATTCACAGCCATGTTCCGCCGAAAGGCTTTCCTCCATTGGTACACGGGCGAGGGCATGGACGAGATGGAGTTCACAGAGGCAGAGTACAACATGGACGTACTGATCTCAGAGTACCAGCATTACCAGGGGGCCACTGCAGATGAGGAGGGAGTGTTCGAGTACGAACCAGAGGCCGATGCCGAGGCTTAGGCTGCATTGTTTTTTTTTTCATTCATTGTTTCCGAACCCGCTGACCCTTGTTCATTTTGTTCCAGTGTTTTTTTCTCATTCTTGTGCAATTTTAAAATAAATACTTTTTACTCTTGAAATGTAGAGAAAGACGAGTAGCTGCCGCTCAGCTGAAGGTTTTCGGTTGCACGTCCTGTGAGAGGGAATTGGTCACACTTATCACCTTTGGTTCTTTATCTGCTGTAGAACTTGTTTTTGCTGATTTTTCAGGAGCCATCAATGCCAGTCTCCGGTACCTGCCAGGGCTCACCCTGGTCGGCCAGTCGCCCTGCTGAATCGGTACCACTGGAGTGTTTTCTCAAGAACAGCGTATATGCAGTTTGCCTGTCGCGCTTGTGTCCACTGATGGTGGAGCCATTCGGTTGATTGAAACGGAGGTGTTTCAAGAAGAGCTTCGCAACATAACCGGGCACTTTCTGAACATCCAAGAGGTGAGGCGCTTCGGCAAAACTGGCAAACTATCCAGGTCTTCAAATATTCAATGCTTAACGGACTTACTGGTCTCCACGAGATTTGCGTTCATTGCTGTTCATGTTTTTATCCCCCCCCCCCTCATCTTGCTTGCGTGAAGGGCATTGTTCGCGGTGTTCCTTCTAACATTAGTCCTGAAGCATTCTTGAAGATGGACTCTCCGGCTGGCGTGATATCTGTCTACAGATGCACCAGATCTGTAGGTGATACGTGCATGTGTTCCTACTGAAAGTGTCATTGTTACCTTTGCTGGTCTGGCACTTCCCTCTGACCCGGAGGCCTGGCCTTATCTATTCCTTGTTGACGCATTGACACCTCGCCCACTGCAGTGCTGTAACTGCTTGCGATTTGGACATAGCGCTAATGCTTGCAGATCCTCATTGAGATGTGCGAAACGCCGTGGGGCACACGCCGCATCAGATTGTCTGGTAGACAACCGCAGGTGTTGCCTATGTGATGGAGCACACACAGCCATGGACAATGGCTGTCAATGGACAATGGACAATGGCTGCTGTGAACGTGAAACAAAAATTGTGAATATTGTGCAGAAACGCAGTTGTTCTCGGTCTGAGGCAACATCTTTCATTAAAGCATGCGAGGTGGGGTACGCCACTGCTACGTCACGCGAGTGTGGGTCCATTGAAGCGACGGTCGCTTCTGCAGTGTCGGCAGCGATAGATAAAGCTATGCCGGTGATCATGGAACGGCTTTTCAACACCTTTGCCGAAGGTCTGACGAAGATGCTCGCCGCCAGCGTAAACAGCCTTATTCCCTCTTTCGCTGCTCACACTGTCACGGTTCAGGTGGAAGCTGGGCACCTCGACAATGAACAAAACAGTGTCAAGACGACGTTCCCCCGGAAAAAGCTCGCCAGCTTTCAGTCGCCGACCCCTAGGAAAGACTGCAGGCATGGATAGAGAATGAGGGGGTGCTGGGGGAACTGCAGAATTAGTTTGGGAAACCCAGGAGGTTGGACGACAGTCTGTTCTCACTGAAGCAGTGCATCGCAATTGCTGAAAAGGAACCCAAGCCCCTGTGGCTAGCATTTTTGGATGTCAAGGGAGTGTACGATAGCGTGGTTCAAGAGGACTTGTGGGGAATACTGGATACACTAGATGTGGAAGATGGAGTCACTAATCTTTTAAAGGATATCTATAAAAGTAACAAGGTATAGTTATAAAACGAAAAAAAAACAGGTATCCAACCACACAGAGATAAAACGGGGCTTAGGCAGGGATGTCCTCTGTCCCCCTTATTATTCATGATGTACCTACAAGGATTAGAGGCCAAATTAGAGGGGAGTGGACTGGGCTTCAATCTCTCTTTCATCAAACAAGGAAAACTAATTGAACATGCACTACTAGCATTTATGTACGCAGATGATATAGTGCTAATGGCCGACAACAAGGAATATTTGCAGAGATTGATGGACATCTGCAGTAATGAGGGAGATAGGTTAGATTTCAGATTGAGTAAGGAAAAATCAGCAGTCATGATTTTCAATGACAAAGAAGGTAGTGAGTTTAGGATACAGGCTGTCACGCTAGAGATAACAGATAAATACCAATATCTGGGAGTATGGATAAGCAGGCGAACCGAGTACCTAAGGGAACACGAAATATACGTAACGCTTAAAGGTAACACGAATGCAGCGGTGATTAAAAATAGGGCACTGTGGAATTATAGTAGGTAGAGGAATATGAAAAAGGGTCATGGTTCTTGGTCCATGACCCTTTTCCTCAAACTCAAAGTGAGTTTGAGGATTCGTACTTTGCAGTGAAAAGTTTAATTTTCACTCGTGCCTTGACTTTAGCCACCAATCAGATAACCTCCTTCTAGTTAAGTCTACCCGCTTAAAGTTTATTTTGCCCTCCTGGTCCCTAAACCCCAGTGCTTTGAAAAACTCTGCGCCATCATCCTGAACTATAGGGTGAAGCCCTTTACAGAACATTATCAAGTGTTCGGCAGTTTCTTCTTCCTTTCCACACGCACTGCATACTGTGTCTACCCCTTCGTATTTGGTCCGATATGTCTTGGTTCGCAGTACTCCCGTCCTGGCTTCAAACAGTAGAGAACTACCCCGAGTATTGTCATAGATCCTTTCCTTGGCAATTTCCTGCTTAAAAGTTCGATAGATCTCTAGTGCGGACTTCTTAATCATGCCCATTCTCCACATGTCAGTCTCCGTTTCCTTCACTGATGGATGGATGGATGGATGGATGGATGTGGCTGTACCCTTTAGATCGGGCGGCGGCTAACGCCACCTAGCCGTAATAGTTAGTGAACTAACCATTACATTTATCTTTTTTTCTTTAAATAATGAAGCTGAGGATTCGTACTTCGCAGTGAAGGGTTTAATTTTCACTCGTGCTTTGACTTTAGCCACCAATCAGATAACCTCCTTCTAGTTAAGTCTACCCGCTTGAAGTCTATTTTGCCCTCGCTGTCCCTAAACGCCAGTGCTTTGAAAAACTCTGCGCCATCATCCTGAACTATAGGGTGAAGCCCTTTACAGAACATTATCAAGTGTTCGGCAGTTTCTTCTTCCTTTCCACACGCACTGCATACTGTGTCTACCCCTTCGTATTTGGTCCGATATGTCTTGGTTCGCAGTACTCCCGTCCTGGCTTCAAACAGTAGAGAACTACCCCGAGTATTGTCATAGATCCTTTCCTTGGCAATTTCCTGCTTAAAAGTTCGATAGATCTCTAGTGCGGACTTCTTAATCATGCCCATTCTCCACATGTCAGTCTCCGTTTCCTTCACTGATGGATGGATGGATGGATGGATGGATGTGGCTGTACCCTTTAGATCGGGCGGCGGCTAACGCCACCTAGCCGTAATAGTTAGTGAACTAACCATTACATTTATCTTTTTTTCTTTAAATAATGAAGCTGAGGATTCGTACTTCGCAGTGAAGGGTTTAATTTTCACTCGTGCTTTGACTTTAGCCACCAATCAGATAACCTCCTTCTAGTTAAGTCTACCCGCTTGAAGTCTATTTTGCCCTCGCTGTCCCTAAACGCCAGTGCTTTGAAAAACTCTGCGCCATCATCCTGAACTATAGGGTGAAGCCCTTTACAGAACATTATCAAGTGTTCGGCAGTTTCTTCTTCCTTTCCACACGCACTGCATACTGTGTCTACCCCTTCGTATTTGGTCCGATATGTCTTGGTTCGCAGTACTCCCGTCCTGGCTTCAAACAGTAGAGAACTACCCCGAGTATTGTCATAGATCCTTTCCTTGGCAATTTCCTGCTTAAAAGTTCGATAGATCTCTAGTGCGGACTTCTTAATCATGCCCATTCTCCACATGTCAGTCTCCGTTTCCTTCACTTTCTTCTTAACCGAAAGTTCTTTTTGGTTTGTCCACCTGCTGTTTTCTAAGTATTTACCTGTCAACTTCCTGGTTCGCTTCCTCCATTTTGTATCGACATTCTTCATGTACAAGTAGATGAAAACCTTCCTAGCCCAACGCTCTTCCCCCATTTCTCTCAATCGCTTCTCAAACTTTATCTTGCTGCTAGCTTCCCTGCCATCAAATGATGTCCATCCCATATCACCTTGTACTCCCTGATTTGGTGTATTCCCGTGAGCTCCTAAAGCAAGCCTACATATTCCACGTTGCTTAATTTCTATTCTTGCTTGAACTTCTGATCTCATGCACAATACGGCAGTGCCGAACGTCAGCCCAGGAACCATGACCCCTTTCCGGGTCACGGGTTGGGCACGGCAGCGCCGCGACGCAGGAGTTTACGGCAAAAGGCCCACACTCATCCCATGTATTCGACTAGGTCACTCTAACCAGGTTCTCTGAAAAGGTGTCCTCTTCCTTGGGTCAAGGAATTCATTGTTTAGGTTGGATGTGATGCGAATGTGCCAGATTGGCGCGTGAGCTCTTGTCGCGGTGGTTTGCAGCCGTTCCTTTTTTTCAATGTGTGCCCCTTGAAGTTGTTTCATTCGACGATTGTCAACTTCTACGTCGTGTTCAGCGTAAGTCAGAAACGATCTTAAAGTTATGTAATGAATAAGACTAGACAGTGCGGCAGATTAGTGTGTCATCTCAGTTATGCCATGGTGGACGAAACTACGCTCGAGCTCACGGAACTTCCAGCTCCCAGCAGAAACCTGAATGATCTCTTCTCGTTGCATTCCTGACCAGATAACACAGAAAGTTGTGTCATGGCTGCTGTCTTAATGTGAAAGAAAGGTGATTTTGAGCCACACTGTCTCACGGGTGGCGTATTTTGGGACGATCTTTCCGTTTTTTTTTTTGATTAATGGCTGATGTTCGTGACCGGCTTGCACTGACTCGTGCTAACGTCGATAGCGAGTGTTGACCGAGTTTGTGTATTTCTAGGTACGCCTGCCGTGCTGCACGACCATGGGTTACGATCTTTGCCGTTTTCAAGGCGACGTCGATGAAGAGTTGATCTGCCCGGTTTGCTCAGGTGTTCTTGAGGAACCCCTACAGGTATGAAACTTTGTTTCACCTTTTTTTTTTCGTGTCATTTGAGCTTTTTTATTAATAGTCGGACTGGTAGTTCGTGCGTGAAGTTTGCTAAAGGTTGTCATGATATGGTGCATAACGTGTAGTGTGTCGGGTTCGACGGAGCTTTGATGTCCTGAGTTCTTCACAGATGCCTCCAAGACTAACTCCTCTGTGTCCTACGCTGCTGTCGGCCCATCCTTTTCGGATGCTGGCCCTCTACATCCACGCACAAGTATCTTCACAGCGGAAGCTTACGCGATACTGGTGGCAGCTAAACACATCAAACAATTACAAATACAAAATGCAGTAATTTATACAGACTCCCTCAGTGTGGTAACGGCTCTGCACAGTCTTAAAAAACAAAAAAACCCAGTCCTTGTCTCACTTTACTCCATTTTGTGCACACTCTACACGCACAAACAACATGTTGTAGTGTGCTGGGTGCCAGGGCACCGTGAGATCCAAGGCAACGTGAGGGCGGATCAGCTCGCTGCATCCGTCCATGAGAGCACCGCCATTACATCCATATCAATCCCGGCCCTTGATCTTAAGCCGTCTCTCAAACTAAACCTCAGGGACTACTGGCAGAGCAAGTGGGATACACACACACAAAACAAACTACACGTTATCAAGCCACACCTTGGCCATTGGCCACCAGTATCAAAATCACGTCTAACAGAGGTAACACTAACAAGACTCAGGATAGGGCACACATACACGACACACACACATCTTTTATCCGGTGGTGATCCACCATTGTGTGATAAATGTGGTGAGGCTTTAACAGTTCTTCACGTTTTAATCCAATGTAAACAGTTAGACACTCTAAGAAGACAACACTTCCCATTACCCTACCGACAACATATACCTTTACACCCTGCAATGTTTGTCGGTAGGGAACCACTTTTCACCCATAAATCATTGTTAGCTTTTTTAAGAGATGTTAATTTTTACCATGTATTATACCCAGGCATTGCGTAGCGTGACCTCTCAAGAGAGGTCGCTGCTGCTGTGATTACATTTAAAAGCACTTGCCTCGCAGCCCTTGGACACAAGGGCACTGATGAGACAAGTGTGCTAGTGCCAAATATTTTTACATGTTTTTATTATCAAAACCTTTGTCACCCTTTTTAATATGCATATCACGCCACTGTCATGTCTTTAATACTTATGTTTTTACCCACATTATCGCGAGGAATTTTAAGGCCCCTATACAGCCACGCAACATATCATTGTCCGCATCTCTATACTCATTGAAATGGCGCTCTTTGGCCATCAATTGGCCCTTGCGCCATAAAACACCACACATCATCATCATCGACGGAGCTTTGACAGCGTTTCACATCTAATTTCACAACTCTGTGTAATTTCTGCTGTGTGTTCGTTGTCACACTGTGTGTGAACTGCAATTATGTCTAGCTGAACATAAATTCTGTTCGTAAAATTCTGCGTTGTGTCGGCGCTGTGGAACAGTTCACATGCCCGCTCGGGGACGCGCGCATCGAGGCACCGTTAGAGAGCCTTCATGTATAGACCTTGCATCAGGCGAGAAGGTCCGGTCTGGCAACCATTGCAATCCTCCTCTCTGGCAAGCGGGCGATGGCTTGGAGTGTGTGTTGAGGCTGGTACGTGTGGCGTTATCGAGCGGTTTGCCATGAATTAAGCCAACCTGCAGATTTTTTTTCTTCATTGCTAGGATGGCCAAGAATTGGTCATCAGTGAACCACTGCGCTGTTTTTCGGTGCAGTAACAACTACAGAAAAAAGAAACTGCTGTTGGAAGAAATATGCCATGTGCATCACCGCAGACGTTTTTTTTGGCTGGGGACTCTTCTTCAAGTTGCATCGTTTTCCTATTGACGAGGAACAGCGGCTTCTATGGCTTGCAAACTTAAACAGGAAAAACTTTGTACCTTCCGTGGGTACTGGGGTATGTTCAGAGCACTTTTTCTCAGGCGAACGAACCGCAACGACTTGACACCGATGCTCAACCTCAGCTATGAATGGAAGGTATACAGCCTACAGCTATTCCAACAATGACAGTATTTCCCCGATAAGCAGCCCCAAGTAACATTTCTCTCTATCGCAGGTCAAAGTACTGCGGCATCGAAAGTCACTCAGATATTGCAATTAAAAAAAAAAAAAGAAGATAAAAAGGGGATGCGCAGACACGTCAGCGTCGTTTGATGTAAAGGCTGTATTCTAGTGCACACATGTAAAAACAGATGAGCGAGTAAGATACCGTCACTCCTTCAGATTTGAGAAACAATTCAGTTAACAGCTAGTGTGCAGTTAACACAAACCGTCAGTGCCATGAAATAAAGACTAACCGCTACACTCCAATTCACCGCTTCATGCAAGAGCGGTAGCCGATGCAACGGCATTGTGTAAAAAATCTTTTTTAGAAAGGCGTATGACTACAGCCATCGGTTATCCTGTCTACGCGCTACATGCCCGGCCCATGTCTATTTCCTCTTCTTTATTTCAACTATGATATCCTTAACCCCCGTTTGTCCCCTAATCCACTCTGATGTCTTCTTGTCTCTTAAGGTTACACCTACGATTTTTCTTTCCATTGCTCGCTGCGTCGTTCTCAATTTAAGCTGAACCCTCTGTGTAAGTCTCCAGGTTTCTGCTTCGTAGCTAAGTACCGGTAAGATACAGCTATTATATACCTTCCTCTTGAGGGATAGTGGCAATCTACCTGTCATAATTTGAGAGTGCTTGCTGAATGTGATCCATCCCATTCTTATTCTTCTAGTTACTTCAATCTCGTGGTTCGGCTCTGCGGTTATTACCTGCCCTAAGTAGACATAGTCTTTTACAACTTCAAGTGCACTATTACCTATCTCGAAGCGCTGCTCCTTTCCGAGTTTGTTGTACATTACTTTCGTTTTCTGCAGAATAATTTTAAGACCCACCTTTCTGCTCTCCTTGTCTAACTCCGTCATCATGAGTTGCAATTCGTCCCCTGAGTTACTCAGCAATGCAATGTCATCGGCGAAGCGCAGGTTACTAAGGTACTCTCCATTAACTCTTATCCCTAACTGTTCCCATTCTAGGCTTCTGAAAACCTCCTGTAAGCACGCGGTAAATAGCATTGGGGAGATTGTGTCCCCCTGCCTTACACCCTTCTTTATTGGTATTCTGTTGCTTTCTTTATGAAGCACTATGGTAGCAGTTGATCCCCTGTAGATCCCCGCGTAGACAGGATAACCGATGGTCATTAAGGGTAACTAACTGGATTCCCAGAGAAGGGAAGCGGGTTAGGGGGAGACAGAAGGTTAGGTGGGCAGATGAGATTAAGAAGTTTGCTGGTATAAATTGGCAGCAGCAAGCACAGGACCGGGTTAACTGGCGGAACATGGGAGAGGCCTTTGTCCTGCAGTGGACGTAGTCAGGCTGATGATGATGATGATTACAGCTCAAGATTAAGATATTCACTATGCTCTCAAAGTGTTGTTGCTCAGTCTCGAAAAGAAAGAACTCAGAATATTGCACATATTGTGCTGTGAATATATTGCATCAACAGAGGCGGACTCATTCGCGGCGCTGTGTAATAAAACTATTGACCCTCAGCGATTTGAACCTTGTCAGAACGTCTCATAGACTCATTTTTTAAAGAACCTGCATCACTTCAGTCAAAATTCACCACGTAAAAACTAAACAAGAACAATAAAATCGCAGCCGCACGTTTAATTTCTATGCAAATAGCGAGCTTCCCGCATGCCAAATGGGTTGCCAGACCAGAAAAAGGCCGCCCGGTAGCAAATGGTGGTGCCCACGAAAAAAATGTTTATAACGCCTAGAATATACTGGCTGGTGTGCTGAGCGGAGCAGTTCACAATGGGAGGAAATGGCTGGGCCGGTGGTGCCTTCCAACTTTAGTGGGCAAGCGGCGCCACTTGTTGCTAAGGTGCAGTCAGTGCCGCCCGTTTGTATGTGTGTTGCCTTTGTTGCTTCTGCGGCATTGTAAGTTCTTTGTGCCTCGTGTTGTCAGAAGCTGTATTATTGACGTGTGCACTGTTTTTAGTGTGTTAACCCTGTTCTTTATGCCCTTTGGATCCGCAAAGACATGATATAACGGGAGAGGCATCAGGGCAAGCAGAAAACGTGCTTTGTGCTGAAGTGGCTATCGCACAATCCCGGAGAAGTTGTCTGTGTTTCCTGTGTCGTCAGACGTGACTTGCTGAGTGGGAGCGGCTCAGGCTGACTCAGGCATGTGTGTTTTATGAGAAGCATTTTGAGGACATCTACTTAAAAGAACCTTTAAAGCTACTGTGGGCGTCGTTGTCAAAGAGATCGCCAGGGAAAGACCGCGCCTGAACCCTGACGCACTACCAACAGTATTTGACATCTACCCTAAACACCTTCTGCGTAAAAAGGAACAGGAAAAGAAAGTCAGAAATATTTGTGACCGTACCATCACTAAACGGCCAAGCGCAGTGCCGTTACAGATGTCAGCAGTGGGTCATCAAGCACACACCTGCATTGCAGTGTTCAGTCCATCGTGCTTCAAGCGGAATGCTCAGCCACGGGGCTCTGTTTATATTACTGTGCTTCAAGCTCAACACCTGTTCTGCAAGTTTTCAATTCCTGCGACGTGGACTATTTTGACCGAAGCCAAGCTGGCTCTATCGCCTACACGCGTTATCACGCAGAAAACAACATTGTTGCTGCGCTATTTATTGAAATAACGGGGACATTTGGAGATGACGTTCAGAGCTGTTATGCCCCACGTGATTCAGTACTGGCTACAGCATATTTCAGGGAACTGTATTTTTCTGAAAAGTGTCAGCTTAGTGTTGATAGCTGCGCGCAGTGCAAATATCTACGAAGGCTCGTGCAAAACAGACTGCACAGGAAAAAGTGCACAACATGCTCTAAACAATCTGTCAGTGTATCATATTGTGTGAAACTGGCCACTGTGCAGAAGCAAGTGGCTGGCATGAAAGTCCAGAATGAGGCACTGAATAAATTAGC